AGCTGCAGAGAGCAAGGCGGGAGGTTGGTCCCTCTGAGTGACCTAGAACGAACTAACCCGAAGCCGGTGAGGTACAGCGCGACCCAACAGCTGAAGGCAGAGAAGAGCTGGGTGCCCGGCGGTGCCCGAGCTGCAGGGAGCAGTGCACGGTTGGTTGCGGCAGGGCTGGCTTAGCCTTGGGCACAGGGAGGAGGTCAGGCCTGGTCCCCACCGTAAAACAAGGGACGAGCAACTGCACCTGAAAACCAGACCTTGGCAGGAGTGTCACTGTAAGAGAAAGCCTCCTTAACGTTCCAGACACGGCATGTCAGCCTGCTGCGAAGCAGATGAACGAGAATTTCTAACGGTGCCACTTGGTGCAGAGTGCCACTTCCTTCAGAAACACTGGTGACAGTTTGATAGGCATTTCACAAAAACTAACGGTCACCTAGAAAAGCTGTATCTATGCAGGCAAATGTGTACATAACCCTAATACAACAAAAAAATGCTAATCTTTCCAATGAACCAATCAACTGTTTTACATCAGCTCAATTTTAATAAATAGGATGAACGTGCAGGACAAGGGTGGTAAGGCACGGCCTGTGCCCAAACTGTTGCCTCATCCATCCAGCAGAACGGCTTTACCAGTACTCTCTTTTCCATTAGGGAATGCTCCCTGGTCCCTGCTGGTCTCAGAATCATGCCCAAGCACCGCCTGGAGAGCATTAGTTACCACAAGCCAAACCTGTACATGCACACGAACAGACAAGGGGACACGTACATGGTTACGTCGGTGCCATAGCCCACGTACCTGCACTGGCTACAGTTAAGCTACAGTATGGGGCAAGTAACTAATACTAGGCCAAGTTAGTGTTGTTGCTATGCAAGAATTCAAATGCTGACACGGGTTTGAACGTAGTATTTTGTGATACCAAGCAATCTCAGTACCTTTTCTTGCCTCTGCACAGCACCACATCATTTGGAAGAATGTCTAGATGGACTTTTTCTTCCAAGTGAAGTAGAACTTTGTCAGGTAATGGTATTGCCAAAAGCAGAATGGGAAAGGATTCAGGGCAGTCTTGGCAGCGCAGCTAGAGAAGCAGCACACGTCCTTGCTGAGAAGAAGAAACGCGAAGAAATGCACTTACGCTCCAAAGCTGCTGTAAAAGACTGGCCCGATACCATTATGGTAAGTACAAGACACTTTTGTAAAAAAGGGAGATTCATTTTCATGTATGCAAAACCACTCATAGTAGCATTTCTAGCTGTAGTCCCTTTGTTTAACATCTGCTTTTAAATATGTACACCATTTAAATGCATTTAACATCAAACATCAACACTTAAATTTTTGTAACTAATGCTAAAATGCTAAATTTAAAAAAAAACAACAAACCCAAACATTGAGTATATCATCTTCAGCATAGTTTATAAGTTTTTAATCCCTGGCCTTTAAATGTGATTTCTAATTTTATCTGCACTGTAGGGCCTGGCACAACAGAAACTTAAAGCCAGAAAATTACGTGAAGAAAGAGAAGAGGAAGAAAGAAAGTTACTTGACTTGGAGGAAAAACAGTTCCAAGCAGCAAAACGGAAGGAGGCTCTTGATCGTGCAAAAACCTATCTATACTATCAGAACGAAAGAGTGAAACAATTACATGTTTGTTGAGAACTTATATTTTTAAAATTCAAATTGTACTGAATGTTTTTTAAACACTTCTGAGCATGCAAATTACATTAAATATTCTCTTTCAGAGCGCACTTCTACTTGCTGAGGTCCTAAAAGAAAGAGATGCTCAAGTTGCATTTAAAAAGTTAAAGTCAGGTGTTAACAAGAAGGATGACAAAAAGGAACATGAATGTAAAGAAGCTATTCTCAGAGAGCAAGAAGAGGCACGTCAGCGTTATATGAATCAACAGGCGTTACGCAGAGATCAGCTGCAACAGTAAGTAATAATTAAACTAAAGTAACCCTACTTTATTATTTGCTTAGACTCTCTTCTTCAGTAAGTTTTTTTTACAGAAACCTACTAAGAAATTCACAAATACGACACTTCAACAGAAAAATCCAGAGTGCCACAACATTGCAGAAAAGGGAAATGCTGCGATAGCTAGTGTCTTCTAGTTGCCAAGAGTCTGCACATAGAATTGCCTTTGGCAGGCATCAATAAGTTTTAGTCAAATCGCTATTCAAAAGTTTTATCTGAAAGCATATTTTAACTCAGTTTTGGTTGCAGAAAAGGAAAAGGTTAAACCTAGATTTTCCATTTGCCCATAACTAGATTCCAGAAAATGCATCACTGCCACCTCCATTCTTTCTCTATTACTCACTATCTTACCTCTGTTATCCCACTTTATTATCCCCCATGTTTTCTCCATTATCCCCCACCCTAATGGAGGGGTCCCCAGTGGTATTTATAGGACTGGCCCCAGTGGTCTGGTAGAAGGAATCAAATTCCCTGAGGCAGAGGAAGGGTTCAAAGTCTGGTCTCACATATTCCAGGTCCGAGACATGAATTGTCGCAGAACTTAGTGCAGAACGCTACCAAGTTAAGCTGTTGCCTGGATGCCCAGGAGAAGCATAGATATAGTGGGACTTCTGGGGAAATTTGTTCACCGAGGATACTGCAGACACAAGCCAAAGCATTATGAATGCAATGGTGCCACTAGACTGCAAACTGTGAGCATACCACGAAAGCTCATTTCTCGTCAGAAGACTGAGGGCTTTCATTGCAAAAAATTACAGTATTTTTCACCTCTTGTTATTCTACTCACCTTCGATTCAGAGTATCCCATTCTTCAGTGCAAGGTGCCTACCATTATGCAGAACCTATACCTGTTCATTACTTCATGCAGTCCTACATTTATTCAACTCCTTTTTCCAACTCAGAATAAAAGAGCACAAGCATCAGGCAAATCTGGCCAAGCTAGAAGCCATAAGAGAAGGAGAAGAAATAGACAGGTTGAACCGATTGTACCAGTTGGAAATTCAGGAAAAAATGGAAAAGGAACAGCAGGAAAAACTTGAACGCCGAAGGCTGTATCATGTAAGTAACAGGAAAGCAGACAGTTTGAAATGCTTGTCTCACCTGGGCTGCTTGGAGTGAAACAACAGCATTCGTGTATCTACATGGGCCTACTGCCAGCAGGAGGTTTGCTGGAAGCTTCGGCAGCACTGGACCACAGGCCTACTCTGCCAGTTGCAGGGTGTATCCTTCCTCTGTGCTTTTGAGAAAGGCCTCTCAGAGGCAGGTCTCTCCTCTTGTCTGAAGGGACATTGGCACATGATGCTTTGGCTGGTTTATGATTAAAAAGTGTGCCGTAGACATCAAGGGGTATTCTCCTTGACTTGAGAACTGGCTTTAAGTTCCACAGACCAGCTGTTTTACACCCTTTTTTCTTTGCTAGGAAGAAGGAATAGCCTGAGACTGAACATAACAGTGTCTTTTTAACTTGACATTCCCTTTGTGATTGGAGAAGTTTAGAAATATAGTCAAGATTTAGTCAAGACCTGCGGCCTTCTCACTTCGTCTTTAAAGGCATCTTGCTAAATGCAAACTAGAAATGCCTCAGAACAATTCTGGTGAACATGCAAAAGACAGTTTTGGTTTTTTTACAGAAAAGTAATAAAAGTATAGAAAACTCCTCTTCATGTCTGATTTGGATTAAGCTCTTAGCCAGGGATAGATTTGGAAGAGGCGGGCCAGGAACAGCTCAGTTTGTGTATGTGTTGTTGGGGATTGCACATCCCACTCTCCCATGTGCGTAAATGAGAGCAAGGGGTAATGCTCACTGCGTTGCATCGCAATTTGTGTGGGTGAGGGGCTGGAGGACCAGCTGTTCGATGCTTAATTCCCCTTCTCCTTCCTTTTATCTACTGCTCCTCTTCATGCATGTTTAAATAGGGAGGCAGAAGTAAGTGCAAGTACTGAAAATCCCTTTCCTCTCCTCTTTCTTTGAGAGAAACAGTGAGAGAACAGAGAGTGCTTCTTTTAAGTTGTTACCCCAGGCCCAGATTTTTTAAATTTCATCACTTATGTCAGGACCATTTTGCCCATGCAGGAGTATGTAATGGACCAGAAAATAATCAAAGCAGTAGAGGAACAGAAACAAATGGAAGAAGATGATCGGATTAAAGCTCATTTTAAAGCAAAGGAAACTATTGCCAAGCTGATAAAAAAGAAAAAAGCTGAAATGCGTAGGTAGGTACAAAGCTTGAGTATGAATTATAAATAAACTAAAAATTATACTGTAGTCATTTTCAAATTTTTCAGACTGACCAAGCTACAGTTATTCTAAAAATTATATTTGATTGGTAGGGGGAATAGGGCATTTCAGAGAAAAAAAAAATCTTTCACGAGTGCCTTAGTAATAGATGTGGAGAGGAGTGATCTCTCTGCCCTTCAAAGTACAAAGACCAGGGGGGCTGAACTAGGTGATCTTTCAAGGTCCCTTCGAACCCCTAACATTCTGTGATTCTATGATTATAGAATCACAAAGATCTAACACCAGTGTGTTGGGAACAGTGATTTTCCATGTGGCATGCCAAGCCTCCACCTCCTCAACAATTAGAGACAATTAAAACCCTAATCGAAAGTATTTTTGGGCATAAGCTACATTTCCCTGAGTTGAATTAAGAAAAATAATTTGACTTCTTAACTAAGCACCTATATTAATTAATTAATTGTGTTATTATTAAGGGAAGACAGTTTATCAATTTAACATTGAGAATACAGCATGACAATGACAATACCACTGAGCCAATCTAAGAGCTTCCTTCTCTTCCTGCTTCTGCCAATACTCCCAACATTTCTCCCTTGATGGCAAGACGGCAGGCAGACTCCTTACCAAGTGATCCAGCTATTGCAACAGAAAGCTAGTATTACAAAATACAGGGTATGTTTATTTGCTAAGTCAGACAGTAAAATAAAATAAACCCACCCCACAAAAACAAAACAAGAAAAGCAGAATGAACATAAGGAGATCAAGAAGTTGGGTGAGTGGGCTTGCCTGTGTGGCAAGAGGAGAGAAGACTAGAAGCAGGATTGCTGAGTTTGGCAGCAGTAATGCTTCAGGTAGACACAGGTGCGTACCCTGGTATGTTATGGTAGCTCACGTTCTTCTGCAGACAAACAGAGGAACGCCAGGACAAAATCTTTCACCAATTAGCTGCACAAATGAATGTGGCATTAAAGAGTGAAGACAATCGTCTTGCTAGAGATATTGCAAAAAAAGAAGCTGAACATGAAAAAAAACGCCAAGAGAAAGAAGCCAAAGTAAAGGCAGCCATTGAATCTATTGCTGAGCACAGAGCCACTGTGGTAAGAAACCTACCCCGTCCTTATTTCTGCTTTACTGCAGCCAAGGAGCCTGGCCCAGATCACAGCTGGTGGCTCTGGTGCCACGCATCAGCATGTGTCCTCAGGTCCACTGACATCTTTCCTGGGGTCCACGCTGGGTGCACATCTGCCAGGGCTGCTGAAAACCCTGAGCTTGGACCCTGGTCAGCCACAATGACCGTTGTTGTCCGAGTGCTGATACAGGGCTGCCTTCGCTGAAAGATAGGACTTCCAGGCTAGCAGGCTGTCTTCTTGGTTAACTTTTTTTGCGTGTATATTTTGTAAAATACAGATGAAGATGAAAGAGGAAAAGAAGAAAGAGGAAAAAGCAGAGGATAAAAGAGAACTTGATGCCTTAGTGGAAGAGAATCATATTTACTTGGAAATGGAAAAAGCCAAGAAACAAAGACAACGTGATGCAAGCACGGAAGTACAAAAAATTCAGATCCAGCAGATGGTAAAGAGACAATCTGTAACCATTATCCCCTTCAGAAGGAAACATGAATCTAAACCACAGCACTAGCTCCTGCCCAAGAGGAAAAGAGGAAGCGTGATGTGGTTTTTTTTGTTTTTTCAAATCATGTACGCTCTGCTTATGCTGGTGTTGGGGACCAGCCCCAGAGCAGTGGTGCAAGTCAAGGCTGGTTTGCAATGACAATCACAGCCTGTCCTTTGCCATCAAGCTGCCTGCTTGTTATCTCCTGCGCAGGTCACCAAAGAATAGCAGCTAATGCTGATGTTCACTCAGCTATTTAATGTACTCTTTTGGGATGAGAGGGGGACGGCAGGGGAGAGAAGTGGGGAGCGATATCTGACAAGTATCAACTAACAAACTAACATCACTGCAGATCTCCTGTAAGCTTTTACCCTCCGTAAGTTTTAAGGGATAGTTATGTTGTGAGAGAATTACTAACCTTTGTTATTCCCTTTTCTTCATCAGGCTGAAAAGCAGGCAAAAAAACAGCAGGAAAAGCAAGCAGACTTGGACTACGATGCTGAGACAAAGGTTATTGCACTTTGTAAGGAGCATGAATTTCAGAGTTATGCAAAGAAAGTAATTGAATCGGAGTCCAAGACTACACATCATCTTTATCCTCTTCTCAAAGCATGCAAAGATGGAAGAGGACTTGGACATGGGCCGCTTTCCAGAGGAAGAGAAGGAAGAGATACTAGTTTTCAAGAACAGGATGGTGCTGGGATACAGTTACCTCGTTGTAGCTGTACTACCGCTCCAGAAGTTAAAAACGTGAAATAACATTGAGACTATCCTGCAAGGAAAGGCAGAAGCAGTTTTCATGGGCTTAAAATAAGATCTTTTTATGAACCTTACAGGCAGAGTTAAACTGTAATCAAATATGTACCGTGAATCTGGAAGTCCATTTGAAAAAAAAAATTGCCAGAAAACTGGTTAGATCCTCAAAAATCCTCAGTTTATATTTCATGCAAGTTAGTTCATTAAACTTGAGACAGCAATGCATGATGTATAACTGACCATCATTACAAACTATTCCAGCCAAAAGTTCACTATTACTGCTAAATTTTTATTTTTAATTGTTTTTAAAATTCACTGTCCCAGATTTTTCAGGACTGGGGTACAGATTCCCCATGCAAAAGGTCATGTTTTTCACTAGCTCACTTCCAGTTAAGTATTACAGAATCACAGAATGTCAGGGGTTGGAAGGGACCTCAAAAGATCATCTAGTCCAAACCCCTGCCAGAGCAGGATCACCTACAGTCGGTCACACAGGAACGTGTCCAGGCGGGTTTTGAATGTCTCCAGAGAAGGAGACTCCACAACCTCCCTGGGCAGCCTGTGCCAGGGCTCTGTCACCCTCACAGTGAAAAAGTTTTTCCTAATGTTTCTGTGGAACCTCCTATGTTCCAGCTTGTACCCATTGCCCCTTGTCCTGTCATTGGACATCACTGAAAAGAGCCTGGCTCCGTCCTCCTGACACTCCCCCTTGACAAATTAATAAACATTTATGAGGTCATATTCCCCATAATAGAAAAAAAACCAAACCAAAACAACTTTACAGAATCTACAGGGGAAGGAAAACAACCTAATACATGTGAAAGAATAATTATGGAACTGCAGGGTTTTTATAGCATTTTACAACTACTTCTGTAAGTGCCATGCTATAAATTAATTATTTTTAATGAAAAGATGTGATTTGATCACAGCCCTTAAAAGGTCACCTAGGAGGCAAACAAATCCCAACAGAGCTATAACTAGATACTACAAAAAGAGCATGGCAACAAGAGACAACACCGTCGGACTGTTCTTTCAGAAAGACTAACAATGATTCAATCTCATAAATACATCTGGATTAAGTTTTTTTCTTAGATTCCTCAGCTGACTTACTCTCCAACACGCAAGTCACACACGCATCTCACTTCTTAAGCTTGGTTTCTTCGCTGAAATTTTATCATCATGCTCCTGCCTTGGATGGAATTAGGGTTTCCAATAACGGCTTCCTCCACCAGTAACCTGGGGTCTAAAAAGGGTATCCCCCTATTCTGGGGTCCACACAACCTTCTGTTCCAGCCCCCAAGCTGCCCGTCTCTGTTGGCCAAACAAGAAAATTATTCAAGTTCTAACAAGAAACAAAAAATAATTAGAAAAGCTTTTATACAAAGGATGCTTGCCAATAATTTACTTTGGAATGCGCGTCTTTCGTGGGCCTTCAGGTTTCTAAGCCTGACTCTCCACAGCAAATGGCTCTGAAGGAAGCACAGAACTTTGAGCAAGATGCGAGCCTACCCTGGAGACGAGGTCCCTGCTGCCAGCTGAGCGCCAGGTAGAGCTGGGGCTACCTTCCCTGCGGTGTAGCGCAGCTAGATGTCAGACGGCCGGGCTCCTCAAGCCGGCTCTTCCAGGCAGGGCAAGGAAGAAACTTTTTCGAAGGAGAGGGAGGTCCGGCCTTCTCACCCAGCTCCCAGGGCCGCTAGGGGCTTTTCCCCGGGAAAACAGGGCCCAGGGGCCGCCTTCGAAGGTCGGGTAACGGCGAAAAGCGCGTTTCCAACAGCGCCAACCGCGGGCAGCTCGAGCGGGACGAGGTGGCGGAGAGCGGAGGCAAAACGGCGGGAAAAAACCTGCCAAGGCC